GCTGGCCTTTAGCCACACCCACACTGTTATCGTTTGAAAACCAATCGTAAATCCTTAACGGACCAATCAGCACACATTAGCACCAGGATTGATTCATTTGAGTACATCTCTTCCTAGGATTCATTTAAGAAAGCGTGCTCCTACCCTGTCTCTCCACTTGTCTCCACGACTGAAAACATTTTGCCCAGTCTCTGAGTTGGGTCTCTAAATGACCTCTTATCTCGACGTCTGTGTACTGTGTATGCCACAAACATTCTCCCGTTTTAAGCTTTTATTTTGGTGAATACGACAATGGTACTTCCTTCACTTCTTTATTACTTTTTTTAATGGTATTTAGGTACACCTTTGCTTTTTAATAGCATATTTCTTGACACTATTATAGATTAAATTGCCTTTTCATTTTTTGTACATTTATGTTGTATTGATTATGCTCCTTTTTTTTTTGTTTTGATTTTTTTTTTTTATGTCATAACATGTTTACAAAGACAGTATTATTAAATATGTCTTTTTTCCTCCCCCCCCCCTGTCAGTGTACAGAAGCTGATTTGCATCATCTTTTCTTTTGGAAAAGGAATTTGATGGTAGACTTTTATCTGAGTGTGACATGTAATGAATTTGAATAGAGAGTCAGACACCTTGTACACTTGCTGTTCTGTGAGGTTTCTACATATCAGCTGTCCTGCTGCTGTTCTGCAGACATTTGAAGGTTTCACAGCAGATATTTGTAGATGGGATCGTCCAGCCTTCGTTCAGCAGCAAATAAAATATCTGAAAATGTTATTAAAAAAATCACAACTTCCTCTTATGTTGATGCAGTTTCAGCTCTTTGGCTCAAACACTGCACAGCGACTGAGGAGAATGCTGATTTTGTATGATCAATTAGGTCTTAAATTGTCTTTTTATTAATAAAAGAATGCTTTGAAACAAACAAAGTTTCATTTCTGTTTGTCTTGTCTGGCTCATCCGGATCCGGACCAGAAGTGTGCACTGTCTGAGGCCGTTCGAACACTTTGAAATGTAGGTTTTTCTTTTTATCCATGAAGGTGGGAGGTTTGATGCTAGGGTGTTAGTATGGGATAGGGAGAAAGGGACGGGAGAGCGTCACAGACATGACAAGGAAAGTGTAAGTATTTCCAGAGTAACTGCTGGAGTGTGAATGATTACTACAAGAGAAAAATAAAGAAAGACTGAAACTTCATTATTGTGTTGGTCAGATCTTTAGTGGCTGCAATGAGGGACGTAAACTAGAAAAACAGATCCCAGTGCGTGTTTTGATCAAAACAGCTGTGACGCTGCTCGGTCCACATCCCCCTTCGATAGCTCAGTTGGTAGAGCGGAGGACTGTAGAGGCTGATCACAGTGATCCTTAGGTCGCTGGTTCGAATCCGGCTCGAAGGAGAGGTTTCTTTTCACAAAAACTTTGGCCAAGATCTCTGTTTATAACGCGGACTTACTAAATGAAACGCGATTATTTTTGCACGTAACAGTTTTGGCGTATACCTCACGTGACCTAACAGGTGCGTCCACGTGAAATTGAATCGCTTGCGTAAAACATGAATTATGCTCAAACAAAATATGTGTTCCCTGACCGGGAATCGAACCCGGGCCGCGGCGGTGAGAGCGCCGAATCCTAACCACTAGACCACCAGGGAGTGATACACATCAACCCTGTGTATGACGATGAAAAGTCTGTAAAGGTGATCTCAGCCAATGATATAATTTGTTGTTCTTTAGCCTGGTTCTGCTAACATTTCTTCCTGTTAAAAGGGAGTTCTTCCTTGCCACTGTCACCAAAGTGCCTGTTCATGGAGGTTCATATGATTTTTCAGGGTTTTCTTCATTTTCTTCGTATCATTGTAGGATTTTTACCTCACAATATAAAACACCTTGAGGCAACTGTTGTTGTGATTCTTACCTTACTAGCTGTAAGTAAAATTGAATTGAATTGAAGAACTAAACAAAAAAACAAACAAAACAAATTAAAGTGAAATAATTATATAATTCCGTAATTAAGCTATAACATACATTTTCAAGCTGTTTTTTTTTCATCCTCTGTTATGCCCATACTCTTCTTCTTCATCAACCAAATCTCAGGACTTGAGATGAAACCGAGTGGTGTGTCCACTGGGGGACAATGAGTTAAATAGGAGAATTACCAGACCAGCTTCTTTTAAGGTCTGCTTAAGTCCATCCATTCTGCAGTTTGTGTGAAGGCCTGTTCTCCCAGTGCCAGTGTAAAACTGATTTGATTTGAACAGAGCTTAAATATGTTTTTCAACCCCGTCAGTTTAGTGGGGATATCCTGCACTTATAAAGTTACACATGCTGAAAAATGGTGTGAGTCTATGAACTGTGAGCGATTTTATCTCGGAACCCTGTGACATAAATAATCAACAATTTCTAGATTTTAATGATAAAATTAAAAAAATAATGGAAAAAAAAACACGCGACCGGTTATTTTTTAGTACTTCCGGGGTGACTGTCATGGCGGCGCCCATAACGCTCTAGCGAAAGGAATCTAAACACGTTCATGAAATAATAAAGCGCTGTGGAGCGAAGCAGCCATGAAGTTCAAAGATCTGCTGAAGTGGAACGCCAGAGTATCCGCCGTGTACGCGATTGGTATTTGGACCATGGTCGGCTCGTACGCTTACCTGAAATACACAGGTCGCTGCGAGGTCGCGCCAGGTGAGCGACGTGAACTGTGAAATTCACACATGCGCAAACAATATTCTCAAACTGAAGTACGCCGAATTATTTAAGAGCCTCTTTTTGATGAGTGTCATCGGGTATGCTGGCAGATGTTACTCATTTAATGTGAAGAAACTGAAGAAATATTAAAATGAGATGAATCTAAGAGGAGCTCTGAGACGTGCCCCTTTCTTCCTGCAAACGGAGGCTGCTTACATACACTGGATACGCAGCTTACTGCTGGTTGGTGAGAGAGGAAGGAACCACAAACGGGACAAAACAGAGGTTACTGACCTGCAGCTGTGGCGTATAAAGAAACAGATTCTCTCTCTAGTCTGAAATAACAAATTTCATTTACTTTCAATATTAGCTGATCCAGTTTGTTTGCACAGTGCTACCCTTTATTGCTGACACATATATTCATAGAAGTAACTGATAATGAATGTTTATGATTGCCCTCCTCTTACTCAGTGAAAAAAGAAGAAGTGGAAGAGCCGCAGGATCCAAACCAGGAGGTCTACAAGACGGCACACGCCAAAACTGTCATCACCTATAAGAAAGACTTTGTCCCGTACACCACAAGGATCTATAATCTCATCTCATCCTTCAGCGGCGATCAAGGGGCTGGAGACGACAACAAATGAACCTCTCCAGTTAATATTTGTGTATTTCTGTGAGGACATTATAATGTTTTTGTTTTTTAAGGAAACTCCAGCTGCGTGTCCACCTGTCCTGCTCTGATGGCCTCAGCCAGCTTTTAGTATCAAACTGTAAACAGTATTCAGTACTGTTCTGTAATTCAGATGCTCGTGGTGTGTAAATAAACCCTCAAAATGCAGAAATCTGTTTCAGTAGAAAGATTAAAGGTTCATCTGTGATTCATGTTATAGGTTGGAACAGGATTTGGGGCCTAGTGATGTCTAATCCTGGATTTTCAGTGTGACAGAGGTCGTTTACTTTTTACCTTATGTTTGACGAGTGATGTCAACAGTTGTGAAGTCACCACCAGCTGACCAGTCAGTTCTCTGGAAAATAAAACCACGACTCCAAGAAGATCCTTCAGACCACAGAGCTCAGATCATAATAAGATGTAAAGTTTTTCAACAGCATTTAAAGTCTTGGTCTTTCCATGATAAGCATCAATAAGAAATACGCACTGGAGCCTTGGTCTACACCACAGGCCAGCAAGACAGTTTTCGGCCACCTGGGATACCGAGTGGCTGAAAACAAAGAGGGAAGAGAAACTCCACAGATGCACGTGAAATGTGACTGAACTGTTTAGAGAGCAGGTTATGTTGTTCTCACTGTTTATTAAGATGAATGAAGTCTGTCTAAAGCAGTAATGTTGATTTTGAATCAATACAAGCCATCTGTTTTAAGGCCGCCTTCATGAGAGCTGAAGGCAGATCTGCCACTTCTCTTACCTGCTGGTGTCACTGGTATCTGCTGTACATGAGGCTGGGAGTGCAGGTGGAGGTGAAACGAGTCACCAACTGTCCAGGAAAACATAGACGAGTCAAGGACTGAAGATACAAGGCACAGCAGTATTTGCATCTGATTGATCAGCTTTATGGGAGAAGGAGAAGATCCAGAAAGTGACTGGTGGCTATAATCTATCAGACACATCTGTCATGAATGGCATCAAGCTATTTGGGGCCAGAAAGTACATTCCTGTCAAAAGATGGACATGGCGATCTGTTTTTGGCAAAGTGAATTCTTATATCCTTTATTTATACAGGAAGAAGTGTCATAGACGTTAGATCTGCCCAAGAGGGAAGCAGAAATTGGGACAAACATAACATCACAGTAACATAAAGATATTTTAAGCGTCCAAAAGGGAACTCTATTGATTACACTGAATGTACAATAAGACAATAAGTCCTGCGAGCTACAGGTCATTTCTTTATTCTGTTTATAACACCGTAATAAATCATGATAACTACAGTCTATTTGCCAATGCTAGCAAGGGTATGAGGCGTAAAAATAAACATCGAAAAATGCTTTTTGGCACAACACTGGAGAGGAGGACACCTGGTGGTAGATCCGAGGGCTCCACAGGTGAGGTGGAGTTAAAGTCACTGCCCTCTGTGAGCTGTTCCTGGGCTGCAGGTCAAGAGGAGTAAAGACCATCTGCCTCTATTCGTTTTTTCATTTAGCCGACACACCCGCTGGTCTGTACACGTCATTTCCTCAAGCTGTTTACCCTCTCAGGTGTGGGTGGAGCTAAACAGCTCACACAGGAAGTGTGTCCAGTCCACTCAAACACTGATGCGCTTTCGGTTTGCGGCATCTGTGCAGCTGATCGAAGACGGCTTTGTTTGTGTCTGCAAACAAATATTAATCGGATTTCTTCGGGAGTTTCCGCCCAGCTTTGGTGAGTCGAGCTGAAAACTCTTAACGCAAACATGAAAATTCAGTTTAGGAAGTTTCAGGGGAGAAGGGGATGTTTGGTGAAAGGTTCCAGGTGTTTGCGCTTCTGTTCCGAGGCTCTGCGTGCAAAGCGCCTCGTGATTCACGCATCAGTGAACGGCTTTGTGATCTTAAACAGGAGCGTTTTAAAAGTTTCATTTCAGCCTGTTTGTTTTGGCTCCCTCCCCTTTGGCCAACCTCCAGAAATACTTTGTCCCCCTCCATGAGCGCACGGATAAACTACGCGATCAAATATTTAAAACTTTATACCCCCGAAAACAAAGGCTTCTCTGGGGAATCTAAAACAATGCGATGTTTCAGTTTTGGTTTATGTGTGGAAAGTACTAAAAACAAAAATGGAAACCTTAGAATCAGTTTCTGAGTCACGTGTCTGATGCTCTATGTTGTTTACATGCTAAAGTAGAAAAAACACCGATGTTGTCCTGTTGTTAACAGACTATTTTTAAAATGTGTTAATATTGAACCCACAAATGCATCAAAGGTGGACGAATAGCAAACCTGAACCACACCTGGCAGAAACTAAGGTAAAACAGTCCACCGTGGAATTTATCCATGACTTAAACTTATAATGGTGAAACAGCGCTGAGATGCTAATGTTGCACAGGCCAGGGAACAAACAGAGCAGAGACGGAAGAAAAGAAATTACAGCAGAACTCAACAGAGAGTTGAGGACAATACAAGAGCTCTGCTTCAGCTCACAGGACGTGTTATTCTGCACTGGGTAACCAGCGTCTTTCCTTTCTGTTCTCAGTGTCCAAACATGGCTGCTGCCGCCTGTCTGCTGACTGAAGATCAGTTTCTGTGCGCCATGTGTCTGGATGTGTTCACCGATCCGGTCAGCACGCCGTGTGGACACAACTTCTGCAAACACTGCATCACTGAACCCGTTGACGCCGACGTCCCGTTCCAGTGTCCCGTCTGCATGAAGATGTTCTACCCAAAGCCCGAGCTGCAGGTCAACACTCTGATCTCTGAGATGGTCGATACCTTCAGACGGGCAGAGCAACGGCCAGGTAGACAGGAAGAAGCTCTCCTTGGGTTAGACTTAAAACCACTGCCGCTGCTTCTCTGTGTGGTGTTTCTTTCATTACTTTGGGACTGCGTGAAATTCAATCATCCTCTGGAGGAAATGAGTAAAGGAGAGAAACTGGGGAAGATGGAGGCTGAAATCCAGCAGACGATCGAGGAGATGCGACTGAAGATTGAGGAGCTCAAACGCTCAGTGGAGCTCGGTAAAGAGGACGCAGACAGAGAGATGACAGATGGTGCTCGGGTCTTTGCTGCT